CAGGCAACTTGTAAGCAGCGGGGAACAAAAGCTTCCAGATTCTCTGCTAAGCACAATAAAAAAGAAGCATGAGGATGATGCTGATCTGAATGTCTCATGGAGACTTCTCCATGGGAATATGGCTTCCGAAGAAAGTAAGAAATGGTTGTCTGATGCTGTTTCTGTTTTCCATGAGCGTTTTGACCCCATTGGCGATCCAAGCAAAAGCAACACTGATCTTATACCTTCGTTGATCTATGGAAAATCCAATAGAGATCAAGATTATGGAGGAATGTTTTGCGCCGTCTTGACAGTAAACTCAATAGTGGTGTCTGCTGGAATTTTCCGAATATTTGGACAGGATGTGGCTGAAATCCCACTGGTTGCTACGACTAGTAGTTGTCAAGGCAAAGGATATTTCCAGTCATTGTTCTGTTGCATTGAAAACCTCCTGGCATCTGTCAATGTGACAGACCTGGTGCTTCCGGCTGCACATGAAGCAGAATCAATGTGGAAGAATAAGTTTGGATTCCGAAAGATAAGCCCTGAACGATTGAAGCAATACAGAAGAGATCATCAACTGATGACATTTTTGGGGACATCTGTTCTACACAGGAGAGTATCCAAGCTTGAATTGTGACCAGATAAAAGGTTATCTATACTGCTGTAGATACATTACCAGATAGGAAGGCATTTTATTGTTGAGCTCACTGGATGATGGTGTAAAATGTTGGAGCTTCACTTCAGTCAACTAGTGAGACTTGAGAGTACATGCACTGCACTTTTTTGTGATGCTCAGATAATCACTCTCTTGAGATCAATTAAAAGAATTAAAAGAAGATTTAATTGATTAAAAGCGTTGTATTGATATCAATCTTCTTATTCAATAAATTATAAAGAAGAATTTTGTAGGTGTTTTAACAAAACATTACTTGTACTTTCCTGTGAGAATCTTAGGAAAAAAAACAATAGACAAGTAATTTGGAAAATAAAAGAAAGAGAATTTATTGTAGAAGGTTAAAAGCTTTAAAAACTCTTTATCACCATGTCAATTAATAAGCTTGTTTAGTCTCTTATTAGTTAACAAAAGAATTTAATAGTACATTTAATAACTTAATGATATTTAATTACCAATAGTCTAATCTAAATAGTTTGCTCACGTCTGACAACATTCTAAGTGTGGACCTGGAACACAAATTAGAGACTATGCTCCCTTCTATCCTCTGATTAATTCAATAATAAAGTTCAAAGAAATTTAGATACATATATACAATATAAAGAGCTATATAGGTTTCTTTATCTTCTATGGCTCATGTTGCAAAGCTATCCTCCCTATCCCCTAGGGGAAATTCGCAACGGATCTTCCGTGCCAATCTGTATTCCATTTTTTATTATATTATTATTTTTCATTCATAAATATTATATTTTAGTTCTTTTTTATTTCCTTAAAATCCAATAACTATTAATCGAGTAAAAAATAAATACAATAATCATTAAAAAAAAGTTGATTGTCTAAGTTTGTTAAATTTTGTGCATTACTTAGTTAATAGTTATTAGATCTTAAGGAAACAAAAAAGAATTAAAATTTGATATTTATGAAGGAGAAATAGCAATATAATAAAAAGTGGCATAAAGAGTGAAACAAAAGATTCACTGCGGGTGAAATTACTCTACGTTTTATGTATATATGTCTGAATATAGATCTTCTTGTTGTTTACAAATCTCAAAGTATGCTATGAGATAATAGTATCCTAGTTTTTGTTAGTAATCCTCCTCTAATTCCTATGAAGAACGGAAACATATTTCCAATCAATTATACACAAAATAAGTATATATTTCGTTTATTTCCAATCAATTCTACACCGAAAGAATTCCTATATAAGTATATATTTCGTTTATTTCGTTGTAATCATTTTCATATATTGCACCACCTAACCAAATCATTGCATATAATTGGTCAAAAAAAAAAGAGTAATAGACATTTTTCACTCGTATATCCGCATATGAAATGTTCACGTTCACTTATAAAGCTGGACGTATGAACACAAATAAAAATGCGTACAATTAATTCTTTTTATTCGCAGACATGATATACTACAAATATCCAAACCTGTATATCTATTCCTTAGATAAATTATTACATGCCTATAATCCTTACTCTTATTGTATACCAAGCACGACCAAATTGATGTAGGTTTTACTAATTGTAGAATAATAAAGTCTTTTTACATATTCTAACCTACCAAAACTAATATTTGATTCTATTCCTGTCCTGAATGTATTTTGTTCTCTTTTCTTTTTCTGAATATAATCCTTATAATATGTTGAGAGGATGTAAGATACTCTATGTTATTGTGTAGTGTCGTTCATAGTAAAGCAAAAACTCATGATTGCCTTTTTTAAAAACATAAAAATATAATAAATCCACAATTACAGGGAAAAAAGAAAGAAATTTTGAACATAATTTTGACCTGTCAGATTTGTGGATTGTGTTTCTTTCTTTATTTTGAAGGTATCAAGATATTGACAAAAACGGATTTTTAACATTATAAACATACAGTTAAAGATTTAACTTATGCAACTTTTATATCATTGAAATAGTAATATATGAGATTTCGACCTAGCTATATGGGATGTCCAATCACCATTATAATATAGCAAACTATCATCGGTTGGTTCAATTGATAACATCTGAGAGAACGGATTACTTCTTCACAAAAAGATTGTATATTTGAATCTCATTACAAATGTGAAAATTGTGTTAGTGAGAAATCTGTAGAAACTTTTATAAGTGACTTGTGATCCCAAGACACACGTACCCTGCTTCATGGTGGTGGCCACAAACGAACCCGCCCAACCATTTTTTTACCGGTTAAAAAAAATGATCACAGGGCACTCAAATAACTCATTGAAAGAAAAAACCATGATCATAGGGCACTCAAATAATACATACATACATACCTATATTTTTAACTTTCATTAACTCAGCAAAGAAAATTGAAGCAATTTAGCAACAGGTGTAACTTGAAACAAGAAAAGTGGTAGCTTTTCTGGTAAGGATTACAGTAAGTTGCCATAGGTAAATTTTGTGTGAGTTGTGCATGTCTCACATTGGCAAGTTCTATTTATGAATGGGTGGCTTGTAGCTGTCATCAAATAGAAGAATTGAATAGTGCGCTTGAGGATGGTCTTGTACCACCAAAGAAATTTGGGTGCAAAATAGCCTGACAGCCATTAGGCAGCACTTGGGGGCATATTTAGCGGTTGGTTTTAGCAGTTTATGAGGCAATATGTGAGATTAAATGTTTTGGGGATTATAGACATAATACCTCAACTAGGATATGGGTATATGAGGCACAGATATGCGACCTGAACCACTGGAAACTAGCAAGAAGTTGGCTGGTCCACAGCCTGAGAGTTTTGCAGGCAGCCCTTTAGGGAAATGTTTGGATGGTTGGTTTCGGCAGTTTGAGAGGCATTTGAATGGAATCATGTTCTCTAGGATGATAAGAAACACATATCTTTGACAAGGAAGGATTGATGGGACTTGGCAATTTTTGGAGCCACTGGAAACTAGCCAGAAAGTCTGCTGGCTACTGACCTAACAGAGCAGGCAGGTCTTCGGGGCAGCTTTGCAGGTTTCGTCTGAGCAATTTAAGAGACCTTCTAGTGGGATTATAAGGTACAATTCTTTAACTAGAAATGGGCTTTAGAGGGTTTGGTGGTGATCTGAATTATCATTTTTATGCGGAATTCAAAGCTGAAAAGTTTTATTAAGTTGAAAATAGATCCGCAGCAATTGTGGAAGAAAGTAAACAAAAAACAGTCACTATTCACATAAGAATAAACACATTTTATTAACTATCAAATATATAAACTAATAGCTAAATGTATTATATACATTAAGATTCCAGATGCAGACTTAGGCTCCGTTTCATAACACTGAATCTGAATTCTGAATTCTGAATACTGAAATAATTAATTTGCTAAATTTTAAGCACTGAAAAGAGATATATGAATGTTTAAATCTTAATGCTGAATCTATTTATACTGTTTGATAAATATTCATAACTTAATGCTTAATAAGCTAAATTGTACAATTTTGCCCTTCTATCTTTTAATCCAAAACGAAATAGAACCTATGATTTAATTAACTTAAAATTATTAGGTATGAAAATGACAATGATTGTGAAGAGCAATGCATACAATGACAATGTTTCTTTGTGTGGGAAAAGGTATAGTTTCATCATTTTGAGAATGGGAAAACAAGCTTTTAATACTCCAAAAGCACGTTCAATTACATTTCTCAATCTTGCATGTGCTTGGTTAAAGCGTTCTCCTTTTGATCTTGGACGAGAAGCATTTCGAAAATCAGACAACCAATATCTAATATTTCGATATGGTGTCATAAAACCACGTGTGTGTGGATAAGCTGCATCACATAAATAATATTTATCTGCACAAAAAATATATATATCAAAATATAAATGTTTGTGGATGAAAATTACTGCAAAAAAATACTATTGTTAAAAAAAAATTTTGAATAGAGAATATCAGGTTGTTTTGTTTAATTAGATAAGAATTTTAAATGTAATTAACAAACAGGGATATATTTGGTAGATAAGATAAAGTAGTTGAAGTAAATCTCTTGATTCTTATTAAATTAAGCATTCAGCTACGATTCTTGTGCTGAAAAAAATACATACAAATTCAGCACCACTTAATAAGTTCAGCAGGTGAATTTTTATTTATCAAATACCCACAACATCTGAATGTATGAATGAATTCAATTTCAGCACTTTTTTATGTTATCAAACAGGCACTTAGTCTAGGAATATATAACAAATTCTCATTCCAAAGCACAAAACTAGAATTAGAATGATTATTAAAAACTACATTTTATTACATAATATAGAAATTGTCCACCACATTTTTTTTTTTTATTTTAGATAACGTCCCACCAGCATTCAGCCAAAACTTTCGTCGTCCTCTCACGTGCCCGGCATGTGGATTGGAAACATTCAGTCCTTCGCGCCTTGCGCGTTAGCTTCCCACCTGGCCTCGCTGCCAGTATCCCATGTGCTTCTGCTGCCCCGCTGCTTCTCTTTGCAGCTCCTCTTTCTCTTTCTTCTGTCAGCCAGTATCCATGTGCTTCTGCTGCCCTCGCTGCCAGTATTCCTCGCTGCCCCGCTGCTTCTCTTTGCAGCTCCCCTCTCACGTGCCCGGCATGTGGATTGGAAGCATTCAGTCCTTCGCGCCTTGCGCGTTAGCTTCCCACCTGGCCTCGCTGCCAGTATCCCATGTGCTTCTGCTGCCCCGCTGCTCTCTCTTTGCAGCTCCTCTTTCTCTTTCTTCTGTCAGCCAGTATCCCATGTGCTTCTGCTGCCCTCGCTGCCAGTATTCCTCGCTGCCCGCTGCTTCTCTTTGCAGCTCCTCTCTCTCTTTCTTCTGTCATTCTTTTGCTTCCTCTTTTCTCTTTCTCTTCTTTTTTTTCCCCCCCCAACAACAATGATGCTTTGTCGCTTATCGGCGTGCCTCTCCAGACTGGTACAAATGCCAATTCCAATGTCTTTTTACCGCCCAAGGAGCTGCCGCATTTGCTGTTGGCTGCATCGGTCCATATCTTTCCTTCTCCTTCATCGTGAACTTTCTCCTTCTTCCCTTCCAGTGAACTCCGATCTCTTCTGTAAGCTTCCTGTTTTCCTCCCTCCCCCTCTGGAGTTCGTATTTTTTTCGCCCCTTGTCCGGTGACGTGCAACTTTTTTGTTGTTTCTCATTCATGAATTCTTATCTTACTGACAAAGAGGTGCCGTCTTCGCTGTTGGTTGCTGGTTTAGGATCTTGTGCCGTTCGCCTTTTTCTCTCCCTCTTCTTTCGCTGTAAGCCTTCTTCTCCTTCCTGTCCAGTGGAATTGCGTCTTTGCTGCGAGCTTCTTCTGTACCCTTTTTTTCTTTGCCTGGAGTTCAATTGTGCAGTGCTTTGTCCGGTGAGGTCCATTATTGTTTTTAGTGAACTGTTCACTTAGCTTACTCTCTCTTGTATTCTTGCGCTGTGTTGGGTTCTCTGTGCTTGCTGGCTCAAGACGGCTAGCAAAGGCCTTTTCTATGTCTTGCTGGCTCATATGCTATTTGTTCCTTGTTTTTTCTTATCTAATTTCTTATCTAAAAAGGTCCTTGTCGCGTCATAAAAAAAAAACCTCTCTGTCTATCTTTTTTGTTCATGTCCGCTATTTTGGGCCCTACAAGTTGCTTGTGTTTTTTACTTTTGTTAGTTACCAGATTCTCAATCCTCAAATCAAATCTTATGAAATATTTCAAATAATTCCGGACCGCAATTTTTAAAATTTTTTTTTTTAATATAAAACAAAAAAAATGTCCCAAAAAAAATTAGTGTGCTGCAAACTTTTTTTTCTCCCACCTGCAATTCTCTCCATTCGCGAAGAAAATTTGGAAAGCCAAAAACATAAATAGCAAATGTATGATTACAGGTTTTACAGAAGCTGCCATGCACACTTGCAAATAGATTACGTAATGGAACAAGCATTTGAGTTCAGTGGAAGACCTGGGAATGTTCGTAGTCAAAAAAATATTTGCTTTTCCTTAACCTGTAAAAGTTAGCCAGTTTCTTGCATACATACAGGCTTGAGAATATTGATGGAAGGAATGATTTAAGGTCCTTCGGTCCACTTTCTTTCTTTAAGAACAATGCTAATAAATTAGGAAATCAGTCAGGTCTCATTAGTTATATAGTCACAAATGAGGAAATTTATTTGAGGTGAATCTCTGCAATAAATCAAATAAGGTCAGAGTTTAACAAACTCAATTTGTTCATCATCAACTCAGTTTACACAATTGAAACACAATTATTAGTGCCGATATGCTGTAAGGAAAGAGAACCCCAAAAAAAAAAAGATAAATAAAGAGAGGTAATCAAACTACTTGGTCATGTGACATCTCAGCCCCCTTCTTCATCAAATAACAAATTTCTTTCATTTAATAACGTGGCAGTCTTTCCTGATTTTTTTTGCAGTTCCAGTCAACACTCTTAGAAGAAATTTCTTTGAAATTGCACCCGATTCACAGTGGCATCCGAATCGTCATTTGTTAGAGGTGTTGCATCTGATTGAAATAGGCCCTTCTTCTGTTTTTGTGCTGTGTTGCTCTTTTGCTGTTCTTCCATAAAGGCGGCTTTCTTTTCCTCTGTTTGTTTTAGCCTCTGGTTGTAAGCTTAACTACTTGTTCACGTCTCTTTTTTTATTCTACCCAATTTGCATGCTTTCTGTTGCATTATCAGCTCCTGGATCCTGTTTCCCATTTGGGCTATGCTTTCTTTTGCATTCTTTTGATATATTCCCGTTCTTCTAGCCCCTGATGAATTTAGGCTTACCTCAACTTGCCTTTGTTTCCGTTTTCGGTTCTTTAGATGACCATCGAGCCTTTGCGCGTCTCTGAGGTCCATAGCTCCCTGTCACGTTGGACTTCTGTCATCCAGGTTATTGAGGCTTCTCATCTAAAAACAACCTATGCATCTCATGCATCCAGGATGTATCGCCGCTTTGTCTTTGCTGATTCCCATGTATGTTTTCTTTTGACTCTTTGATTGTTTTGTTATTTCTCCCCGCTCCGCTGTGGTTGATTTTTCCCCCACTGTTTTTTGTCTTGTGATGGATAGGGTGTAAAGGTTTCTGCTGTCGCCTTTGATGACAATGTTGCTCGCATTGATGGTTTGTTGTTTCCTTTCAAAAAATACTTCATTAGTGACGCTACTGTTGAGCAGATTCCCAGGTCTACTCCGTCCGATCTGTATCGCTTCTTTTGGGTTATAAACAGCGCTACCATGATCAGAGAGGCCTTTGAACCTGAAATGCCGACCCTTCCCCCTTTTGTCGATCTTACCCCCTTTACCTCCTTCCAGCATTTTGCAGATAGTCAGATCTCTATAAGTGAGACATTTCCCCCCGTTTCTTTTATGCTCCATTTTTGCATTTTGCCTTTTTCAGCGCAGCAACATGGTATTAACTTTTATGTCTTTGCTTTTTTTATAGACAAGATGGGTGTTGTTTTGCATGCTTTGCCTGTGAAGGAATCGCGCCCTGAGGTTCCTTCTGTTGTTTCTAGGGATTATGTCGTTGCAGATCAGAGGTTCATCTCCATACTAATGCTCTTAGTTGTTTTTCATTGTCCTTGTACTCATCTGCTTTTACCATTTGCTTTCTACTTCCCTTACAGTAATATGCCTATTATTTTGACGCTAATCGGTGAGATTGAGTCTGAAGAGGGAGGGTCTATAATGAATGCAGTGAGATCCACTGAATCCAGGCCAGTTATTATTGGTATGAAAGTCATAGTGAAGACCGACAATTGTGAGTTCCAAATGCTTATAACTACACCTATGTTAGTTTCCCTTTTTTGTTCTGTTGCTTATTATATTTTTTTCTTTTACTTCCTTCCAGATTTATCCGTTTGTACTAAAGCTACTTCTGTTGTTTTGGTCTCCCCCAGATTCAAGAAGCTTTGCATCTTGAACGATGGTTATTTATTCCTGCTTTTCTGTATTCTTTTAAAACCAAACAACCAACACAATCCCCCTCTAACTGGTGCCTACATCAGCTTATTATTACTACTTTTGATTCGTCTCTTTATAGGTACCGTCATAACTGTTCTGTGTTAATGACTTCTGTTTTGGAGAAGAAATACTGTAATCCCTCCGTGCTGCTTCCTCCTGTTGGTGACACCATGCTGTGCACCATTTCCAGTGTTGCCACAGCAATTCGCTTTGTTATAGACCCTGCCCTTCCTGTATTCGTTCTTTTTAAAAGCTTTTTTCTTGTTATTGTGACACCACTTGTTCCGTTTCCCAGCCTATAAGTTCTGCATAGATTAAGGGCCGAGCTACTATTGATCGCCTGCACAGGCTATGGAATTTAGCTTGTCCATATTGTTTTGCACCTAACGACTTTATTGAGACTCTTGGAATTTCCTGTGTTTCCTGCCTCAAGGATCTTCATACTTTTCCAAGGTACGCTGTTGCTACTTTTTTGTTTAGGCCTTGCTTCTGTTTGCTTGGAACTAATGAATTTTATTTCCTGCCTGGTATCTTTTGTTCTCAGAGCACGTGTTAAGTTGGACATTGCTGATGGCACTGGTTCCATTTGTGTTATTGCCTTGGGTTACGAAGCTGAGAAACTGATGGGCTTTACTGCATACCAGCTGAGCCAATCTGAATATGAGGTGCGCTTTAGTTTGGTTATTCGTGAGTGCTTGTCCATTTCACACTACATATGATGCACATTTTTTCCTAACCCTTTTTTGCCTGTTGCAGGGTGTTAGCTTGAACCTCCGGGTTGCTGATACTCTTGATGGAAAAGAATTGTTATGTTATGTTAAGCGTTCTCCTGAATTCATAAGAGTAACTGGAATCAGGTTTACAATTGTTACGTCATATTTGGTTGGAGAAGCTTCGTCTGTTGAAGAGTAAAATGTGCCTTTCCTGCTTTGGTTAGAGTTCTAGGTTCCTTTGTGCTCCTACCGGTAACTTTGTTTATGATTGCCTTTTATGATGTAATGCCTTGTATATTTCGCAAGGACCAATTCTTCCGTCAAACGATCCTTTTGTAATGCCATATTGATTTCGCCTTTTATTTACTCGTGCTTTATAAATGACTTCAATCTCCCACAGATAATTGGTAAACACAATCTAGATTCTTATGAACGCACTACTAAAAAACGCTTTCTGGAACAAAAAAAAATAAAATTGATTGCCTTTAATGTCCGTCTCTATTTCCCTAAAGCAACACAAGAAAAAAAAAGTCCCCACTAGCAACGATTGTTAAGCCAATATAAAAGGAGGAGAATTATTTGCCCACCTATATTGACGAAAAAGTAAAGCCGCACAAAAACTTGTTATTTTTGTCCTTCGTGGGACAGTCCGGACAGACCCCTTGTGCTAGAAACACCACACGCGCTGGAAGTTGGGTATGTATTACATCCCGTTGACTTTGTGCATCTGCTTTGGACCGGTCTGAGTCTTGTTTCTATCACAAAACACCCCTGCCTCATTCTTTTTTGCCCTTTTTCCTGATACATCGTGCAGTGCTTGCTTGTTTATCTGTTTTGTAGAGAGATATTCGCCTGTATAATTTTTTGCCACATTAAATGCAGTTCAAAAAAACTTTCTACTTTCACGTAGCTGCAGGGCCGCCCGCTTGCCGCAGCACAAAAGAACTTCCACCCTTTCAAGCTTTGCTTGCCGATGATTGCTATTTTTGTGCCTGCGTGCAGTCTGCTTTCAAGTTATGGCAGGTGCGTCTGTATTGTTAAGTTTGCCTTTATCCTTTTCCCTCCCTGTTATTACATTCGGCACTGTCTTTCTTACTATTGTTTCTCTTATCCTTTCCGTTTGCTCTTTCTGCGAGGACGAGAAACTCTTCCAACCATCTCTGAACAGGTTGAGAACTTCACTCGCCTCTTTTGGCCTGAGGGAAGCTCAAAATTCTGGTAATTACATTTTATCCCAATTTTATTACGCGTTCTTTATGTTTGTTTCTTAGATTTTTTCCCCATTTTTTAAATCTTTGGTTAAGGAGGGATGGAACTTAAGAAGAGGGAAGGAGGCTGAGAACTTTTGACCCAAAAAATAGTAATTCCTTATAAATCATAGGAGTTGATTCCATGTTTTTATGTTTTTAATGTTCTTGCGCATTTGCTGCCTCATGGTTGTAAAGTCATATAGGAGTCGATAATGCAGATTTTTGGACTAAAATAAGCCACAACATAATAAGATGTCCTTTTTTTCATATGAAACATGTAGGACAAATTTTGATAAGAAACTTTTTTTTCTTACTTCTATTGCTTATCTACTTCTAAAATACATTTAAAAAAAATTATTTGCGTTCTTGGGAGAAGGAGAATTAGAAGTTGTTAAACTCCACGTCTTTTCTATGAATCAACCTAGCACAAGTTGAGATTCTAAATTAAGCTTTGTCATTACAAGAATCCAATAAACATTTATGACAAAGTTTGAAGAAGTACCATTTTGTTCTCAGTTTTTTTCGTCCCTTATTACTTTTAAAAGGGATTTTTTCGCAAATTTGGTTTATATGAGTGTTGAATTCCACCTTTTTCCTTATGGACTAAACTAACGTACTCGAGGCATGAAATGAAAAGGTGTTCAGGATAGAAATAATAGCAGGGAAAATTGAGTAACTTTTTCTACTTTTATCTTCACAAGTGTATTTACTCTTTGAATTCTTTGATTTATCATTGATTGTCTTAAACTAATTCCATTTTAGGTCTAGGGTCTTATGAATATACTCTCTGCAACATATACGATCATTTGCGCTAATTTTTCTTTTCCAGTAAACTAGCCTTTTCTTTTTTAAGTTTCTTGTTCACACAGGAAGCCTGGCTCTTTTTTCCTTTTTTCCCCCCTTCTCAGCTGCCGACTTGAAGGAGCCTCTGTGGGTGTTCCTCTGCATTCTACTGCTGTTCGTCTTCCTACTTTAGAGATCTATCAGGTTTTACATTTGCCTCTGTTGTCTTTTATGTACATACACTTTGTTATTTGTTCTTTCTACCATCTCATTCTTGCCATGCAGTCCTCCTTGGTTCATACATTCTTTTGCATGTCTACTTTTTCGAACGTTACAAGCCAGTTCTTTTTTTTCCCCCTTTGTAGCTGGTATTTATTTGTTTCTGGTAGCTTCCTTTCATGTTTGAAGTATATTTTTGTTTTTTATGCTTCTTCCAGATGGCTGTGCTTTTGATTTTTTTCCTGTTACCAATACAATGATGGTATGTAGCTTGCTACTGGATTGCTGTGACCGTATGTAGCTTGTTACTAGATTGACTCTTACTTTTTGCTTTCGTCCAGCTATGTCCCCCCTGTAGCTCGTAGCCTGCCTTTTCCTCTTGTTTTGAACTGGTTGATTGCCATTTGTTTTTTTCTCCTTTCTGTTGCCTACGTTTTTAGCCCCTTTGACAGTATGTTAGGAGTCAAGTTGCTGTAAAGCATTTTGTAGCAACCTGTTTCTTCCTTCTAAATTCCTGCTCCAGTTATCTTTTTTCATATTTCTTTTGTTTGTAACTTATGCCCTATTAAGGCTTGCATTTATGGATCGTAATGCGACCCGCCGCAAATGTTATGCTGAAATGCCACAGCATTTGAGAGACGCCATGCTGCGTCGTAGGAGAGAAAAGTACGCTGAACAGAGAGCACAATCATCTCCTGTTCATGTTCCTTCGCCGATAATACGTCAGCTAAAAAAATCTGAACAGAACAGAAAGGGGTATCTTTCCAGATCTAGAATTGACGCTAGCGGTGCGGCCTTATCCTGTCCAGCAGATCAACCACTCGTTTCTGCTGCTATCCAGCCATCTACTAACATGTCTGTTCTATCTCAACAGCCTATTTCTTCTGTTCCTTCGCCTCAGCCTTCGCTCCTACCTCCTGGAGGTATACTTTTGCCTCGATAGCTATTCTCTTCTCCTACTGGCCAGACCACTTGGAATACTTTGTTTTTCCTTTGCCTGCTTGTCTGGCCTTTTTTCCTTTCCATACCATATTTCGCTCGTTCAAGGGTTTTTATCTACTTCTTATTGTTCCTGTCAGTTTCTAATACTTTTGTTTCTCACCAATGCCCTTTATGCTTAGCAGCTGCTCGGCCTGGTTCTTCACCGGCCAGTCCTGTTCAACAAAGACAGCCTGCCAGGAGATCACAGCCTATCATTGCGAAACGGTCCCGTTTAGAGAAAATTCCAACTAAACCTCTAACTCTTCCTAATGTACCACATTGTCAGCATTGTGGTGCAAAGAGGTTCTATCTTGAACCTCCAGGTTTTTGTTGTTCGAACGGGGCAGTTTCACTTGTGCAACACGCGCTTCCTTATGACCTCGTTCGTCTTTTCACTGGGATGGACGAGGAAAGCACAGAATTCCAAAGAAATATTCGCACGATTAACAACAATCTTGCTTTTACTACCTTTGCTGCAAAATACGATAGAAACCTCACAAAAAATAGCCATGGAGTTTACACGTTTCGTGTTCAAGGTCAGGTCTATCACTTGCTTAACAGCCTTTCGCCTTCAGCCTCTCCTCCTACTGGTATTCAATTGTTGTTCTATGACTATGATGAAGAGCTCTCGCTGAGACTTCATGACTCACCTCGTTTACGTGGGAGTACTCTTGAATTTCTAATGCACGTGCTTCAGAGGAATCCTTATACCAGGTTCTTTAGGAGTCTTCGTGATGTTCCTCAACTTGAGAAACATAGGATCATACTCAATTCTGATCCAGGTTTGGACCAGCGAGTATATAACCTTCCAGCTACTTCTCAGGTAGCTGCGATTTGGACCGAGTCGGATGACCAGGCTCTCGAAAAAAATGCCCACATTCAGGTGTACACCCATTCGAGCTCCTGTCATAGGATACAACATTATTATGCTTGTTACGACCCCTTACAGTATCCGCTCTTGTTCCCTCGCGGGGAATCTGGGTGGCATCATGGTATCCCAAAGAAACCTGCTCCTCCTAAGAGAAAACAAAAACCTGATGAGGATGATATGCTGGATTTTTCCCTTATAGAAGAACCTTCTGATTTGATTGCTCTTGAAAATACAGGTATTTTCAAGTGCTTAAAAAACTATAGCGTTGTTTCTGCTCCCTGCCCATTGATCCTTCTATTAGAAAAATTTCTACCACATTTAATTTTTCCCTGCAGTGGCCGAGAAAGGGAAAGCAAAACGAGACACTGTTTCAGCTAGAGAGTATTACTGTTACAAGTTCCAAATAAGAGAAGATGATAGGTCGATGCTCTTACACGCTAGAAGGTTGTTACAACAGTTCTCAGTTGATGTTTATGTTAAGATTGAAACGTCGAGGCTGAATTTTCATAGGAACAAACAAAGGGAAGTTAGGTCTGAACTACTTAAGGGAATCATTGATGGTGTGTCCACCGGCTGCAGTACTGGGAATGACGTTGGTCGTCGGATATATCTTCCGGCTTCTTTCATTGGTGGTCCAAGAGATATGAAGCGTAGATATCTAGATGCTATGGCTTTGGTCCAGAAATTTGGTAAACCGGACCTCTTCTTGACTATGACCTGTAACACCATGTGGAAAGAGATACAAGATAACTTGAAATATGAAGAAAAGGCTCAAGATAGGCCAGATTTGGTTGCTAGAGTTTTTCGGGCAAAATTTGAGGTTCTTAGATCAGAAATTGTTAAGAAAAAACTCTTTGGCGAAGTTGCAGCCTTTGTTTATGTAATTGAGCACCAAAAAAGAGGCCTTCCTCATGCACACATGCTGGTGATTTTGAAACCAGATGCTAAACCGCTTAATCCAGATGCCTATGACAGGATAGTTTCTGCTGCGAGCTACCTGACCCAACAGAACAAAGCTACTTATACTCCCTTGTTATAAAACACATGATGCATGGCCCTTGTGGTCACTAAACAAAGAAAATGTCTGCATGCGAAATGGAATGTGTAAGAATCATTATCCAAAGGAATATCTTGAACGGACTACTCATTCTGAAGATGGTTACCCTCATTATAGACGAAGGCAGAATAACCGATCTGTTAGGGTAAGGAATCATTGTCTAGACAATAGATGGGTTGTCCCCTACACTCCATACCTTCTTGCTCTTATAGATTGTCACTTAAATGTCGAAATTTGCTCCACTGTTAAGCTGGTCAAATACTTGTACAAATATGTATACAAGGGGCATGACAGAGTCAGTTTCCATATTCATTCTGAAAATACTTCGGAAGATATAGATGAGATCCATGAATTCCAATCTGCTCGATGGGTTGCAGCTGCTGAAGCAATGTGGCGCATTTATAGATTTCCGATTTCAGAAATGTCGCCTTCTGTTTACACGCTTCAGCTCCATCTTCCAGGCGAACAAATGGTTTCTTTCCATAGGAATTCGAACCTATCAGATCTGATCAACAGTGCAGATTTTTCTAAAACAATGCTGACTGAGTTTTTTTCCATGAATAGACGAAGTAAACAGACACGCATGCTTAAATGTCTGTATCGGGATTTTCCAGAGTACTTTGTTTGGCATTCCGATAAGAAAAAATGGACTCGCAGAAAACGCAGAAAGGTCATCGGAAGAGTGGTTGCGGTTAATCCCAGTGAAGGTGAACGATACTTTCTAAGGTTGCTCTTATCTCATATTCGTGCGCCAAAGTCATTTAACCACCTTCTTACTGTCAATGGCCAACTTTCGTCTTCCTATCGAGAAGCTGCCTTTCGGATGGGCTTGCTTCAATCTGATGCTTATATAGAAGACACTCTTGACGAAGCCAGTACTTTTCAAATGCCTTGGTCGCTTAGAGCCTTGTTTTCAATGTTACTTGTTTTCTGTGCTCCTTCCAATCCTATTAGTTTATGGGAGAAATATGAGAAGGACTTGTCATCTGATTTCGAAAGAAACGGCCTTGCAAATGGCCGTGATCCTGCTTACATTAGGAGATGTGTGCTGCAGGACATAAATAGATCACTGGAGCAGATGGGTAAACGCATTGGTGATTACCATCTGGTCCCTGACGATCATTTGTTTACTGACCATGAACGTTTTGCCAAGGAAATTGAAAGTGAACGGAATATTCCCTTTTCAGATGATGATTTGCTAACGGTTTATCAATTGAACGTTGGTCAGCAAGCTGCATATAATACTATTATGTCAGACATCTATTCACCTGATTGCAAAAGCTTCTTTGTCGATGGTCCTGGAGGAACGGGTAAAACCTTTTTGTATCGTGCCCTACTTGCTACGTTGCGGACTCAAGGCCATATAGCATTGGCAGTTGCCTCATCCGGGGTAGCAGCGTCTATTCTTCCTGGAGGGAGAACCGCTCACTCACGGTTTAAGATTCCTCTTGATGCATCAAGCACTAAGACTTGCCAAATCAGTAAGCAGAGCTCGATTGCTAAACTGATTGTCATGGCCAAGTTAATCCTGTGGGACGAGGCTTCAATGGCGAAGCGAGATACCATTGAAGCATTTGATCTACTCCTTAAGGATATCATGGACAGTGACAAGCCGTTTGGTGGTAAAGTTGTCGTTTTTGGTGGCGACTTTCGTCAAACGCTCCCTGTCATTCAAAATGCAACACGAGATATTCAGGTTCAGGCCAGCTTTGTCAACTCTACTTTGTGGGGCAGCTTACAAATAATTACTCTAACGGAGAATATGCGAGCTCTTCTAGATAAACCGTTTCAGAATTCCTTCTTAGAGTAGGCGAAGGGACTGAACCTGAGGACGCAGATGGCCGAATATCTCTATCCAATGACATATTAGTACCGTATGATAGCAAGGATACTTCTCTTGACAGGTTGCTTTCTAATTCACGCCTTTTATATATATCGCCATACGTTTCTGCATTATAATACTTCCGTTGGTATTCATTTGAACGCACCTACGGGATAACTGTACTGCTATTTATTATAGCATCGTCATAGGCGACCCTGCCGCAAATTGTATTTGTCTTGACTAGCTCCTATGATCACACAGGTTAATAGAATCAGTGTTTTCAGACTTGCGGCTTTACTCTTTGGATCCCTATCTAATGATAAATAGGTGTATCCTATCCGCAACGAATAGTGCAGTTGATGATGTAAATCAGATGATAATTAGTCGTTCCCAGGTCAGCCTTATACTTATACGAGCACTGATAGAACACTTAATGAGCGCGATCAAGGAGATTACGAAGATTTTCTTAACTCTCTGAATCCAAAAGGCCTCCCTCCTCATAAATTAATCCTAAAGGACAACTGTCCAGTCATTTTGCTGCGCAATCTGAACCCAGCTGAAGGTCTCTGCAATGGCACTCGCCTTATCTGCAAAGAGCTCGGGAAAAAAATACAATCTGTGCTGAGATTGCCGTTGGACAACATCGAGGCAAAAAGGTTTTACTTCCAAGGATTCCACTTCAATCAGCCGATAGTGAGAAGAATGGTATTCCTTTCAAGAGGACTCAATTCCCAATTAAACTTTGTTTTGCAATGACTATTAATAAGTCCAAGGTCAGACACTAGATTATGTGGGAATTTATTTACGTGAACCGGTCTTTTCCCATGGACAACTGTACGTTGCTCTTTCTCGTGCAAAAACATCTACATCGGTCAAGTTCTCATTGTACCAGGGACTTATAGTGATTCTGTGACTTCTGGTAAAACGAGAAATGTTGTTTATCGTGAGGTTTTGCAGCTGTCTAAATCATCATTTTTTTGACTTGGTTAGCTCTTCTTGATTTTTTCTATATTGATCTGCAATTTTTTCCTTTTCAACTGATGCTGTTTGAACATTTAACGAAGTACAAAGAAACATATTTATCACTTATTACGTAATTAGCTTGTTCCCTCCAGGATGTCTGAGTTGCTAAAATTGCTGATATCAAGCCAAAAATGCAAAATTGGACAGCCAAGGTTTTTGTCAAAGAAAAGATGCATCCTGGTTCGGGCAAGACTAGCCGACAAGATATCAAAAATTTGTGCTGTCTGACTCAGAGGTTTTTCCCTCAGCCTTTTTGCTTCTGTCGCCTTTACCAGATGTCTAACCTAGACTAATCCATTTCATGTTATTTGTTAGCAGGGTTCTAGGGTCCAGGGTATCCTTTTCAACAATGCTATTGAAAAGATGGGTCCGAAGCTGCAATTGTATAAGAAATATCGTATCTCCAATGCTGAGGTGAGAGAGATTGACAAGAAATATCAGTTTGATGGAATAACCATCCAGTGGGTTATCAGCACTCGTACTGTTGTTGAAGAAGATGACGATGACGATGGCTCCATCTTGCCCTTCCATTTTGATTACATCCCTTTTAGAGACTTCCCGCTCTTTGTTGATTCGAAGAGCAAAACTGTTGGTAATCTAACGTTAAGTTGCATACCTGCTACATTTGATAAAATCATCAAATCCTCCTTTCAAATAGTTGACACTTTTAAATCCTTGATATTAGATGTCCTCGGAGTGGTCATCGATGTACAGTCTGCTGAGCCAATCAGAATCCAATCGCAGGATTCATATGTCCAGCGGTTTGTAATCGTTAACGAAGAGTAAGTTTCTAAAAAACCTGTTTTCCTGCGGATCCTTCCTTCTTTTCTACACGCCGCTTACACGTTCATGCAGATATGTTGTGATTTATTACAAAACTGATCATATAATTTGGAAACCAGAATACAACCTTCTCTTCAAATTATCGCTTACGAATACAGGCTGGTGTCTTACGATTTATTAGAAAGCTGATCATATGCTTTAAAAAACAGAATGCAGCCAGTTGTTCTCTCTCTCTGGAATAGGTTTGTTGAAACTGAAGGCAAAGTTCTTATGCAGCTGCTTAAAAAGAGGCCAGTTCTTATTTGCCGCAGGGTCAAAGTTGTCTCTTATAATGGTATCCTTACTTTATTTCCTTATCAAGTTGTCTCTTTTTAGGTACAACAATGTTCACAAATGATACTGATATGAGGATACTGCCTTATTTCGATTTCATTCCTTAGTTATTCTTGAGTTAGCATATTTCATTTTTTTTTTCTGTTTTCTAAATACCATGCACTCCTCTTTCTGGCAGGAATTGCGCTCTCCACTAGAAACGATTCGGTGCTTCTCATTGATCCACCTATTGGAGATGCAAGCCATTTGAAAACTTGGTTAGTTCGAATTGTTTCTTTTCACCTTCTGCCGATTTCAAGAGTAGCAATTGTATATTGTACCTGCTAATTATGTACTTACTTTTATCTTCTATCAAAGGGCAATGAGAAATGAAAGCCAGTTTGCTACACTGGTTCAGGAAAAAACTTATAATATGCATAGTCCCAGGATGTTTCATCAGTCAAAGCACAAAATTTCTACTATACAGGCTGTCCTAGCAACTCAGAAGGTCATTATATTAAAATACCTGCGCTTTGTCGCTTGTTATTAAAATACCTGCGCTTTATTATACCTGCGCTTTTGTTTTGATGTTCACAGCTCGCCTGGGTTAAAGCTCGTTTCTGTTTCCAGAACATATTCCAAAAATATTGGTATATGTCTTGTGTTAAGTGTCATCGTCAGACATCGGCCAACTATGGCCACACTTTTACCTGCAATCACTGTAACGAAAGGCAGCCTGCGACCCCGCGGTAAGCTACATATTCCTGTTTACTGAACATTGATCTGTACTGTTGAAGCATTTCCTATTTTTTTCATGTTATTTAACCTTCGAACCAGGTGCCGCTTTGATGTTGATCTAAGTGATGATACCGCCGTTATGACGGCTTCTGTATTTGGTGAATTAGCTGAGCAATTGCTTGGCATTTCTGCTGTTGCGGCAATGGATTTTTATAACAAGGTTTATATCACGATAATGAACTAATGCTCTACTATGTAAAACAAACAAAAATCCGCATTATGAAGCCCTTTGTTGCTATTTACATAGCCATTTTCCTGAATTTATTCTCAGAATGAAGAACTCCCGCTCGAACTAATTCATGACGCATTGAAGTTCAAGACATTCATTGCTCAAGTTAAGCCTGGAAATACAAAGATGATGGGACTTATCAGCGATATACAATTGTTTATTACTTTGAAGACAACGGAGACCAAGAACTCCTTGAGGAACAGCCCCTAAGTAGTTCTCATGTGGCCAGTCAGCTTTCTGTAGCTGATACTCCAGGTATTTGCTACATGCTTAGCCATATACTTTTAAAATACCCATTCACAAATCTTTTTTTATTTATTTTCGCTTGTTCTGTTGCACAGAGAAACCATGTTCTTTTTCAAAAAGCCAGCTCTGCTTTGATAAGAAGCAAAATGTTCCCGAAGCAGAAAGTCAGTCTTCTGCTATTAACATTTCAGGTATTTCCTATCCCTTCCATTAATCACTATTTTCCATCTTTGTTGGGTTTTATCTATAGATATGTTTGTTTCGTGTGCAGATACGCCGTGTGGTTCCTCAAAGGCACGCGTTTGCCTTGCAAAAAGAATGGAACTCAGCGAGGTAGCCGAAGCTACTATATCAGATACTTCTGCCATTGCGAGCAGCAAAAAACCAAGGAATGCTTGATTTGCTTGTCCTCATCAGAACATCTTTTGTCGTTACTCTTGCAGCTATGTAGGCCTATTTAAGCATACGCTCTTATTAGATACTATATGCATCATGTACTTTTGCAGGTAACGAAAAAACAAGTAATGCTTGGTCTATTTGTCCTTATAAGAAGGTCTTCTGTCATCACACTTCCTGCTCTTGGCCAGCGGTCTTTTGTCATTGTATTGCCTGCTGTGTAAACTTGTCTCACTTGACTATGTTCACGATGATCTGTCGCTGGAGACATATTGATGACATTTAAACCCCTTTATGTATGGCCTGTTTCCAGCTCATCTATCTACTATATGTCATTATGCTTATTTTCCTTATTTGATCCCTGAACTAAAGGCACAACTTTCTGATAATCAATTGCATTGCATTTCATATATCTACGTTCAGAGATATATTGTTTCTGCATTAAAGCCTCTGCAATGTGCTAGTGCTGAGACTAACTACGGATATACTCCTCTGAAATTAAAGCCTCTGCAATGTGCTGATGGTGAGACGATCTTAACAACGTCCCTAAACTACCTGTTAAGAAACAAAGTTCCACAGTTCCATTTTTTCAATAAATACAGAATCTTTAATGTAGCTATTAAGTCTATGTCTAAACAGGTACCGTGGCTGCATTATATCAGATCATGTTGCGGTCTCTATCACTTAATTGAACTAAGAAACTAAAATGGAATTGATAAAACTATTCCAAACAAAAAAACAAGGAATCCAGAGTTCCTCTGTACAAGAAAATTGCAGAATCTTTAATATGGCTATTAAACTTGTATCTGAACAAGTATCAATGTTCAGAGAGTCTCTATTCTATTTGATATATCTAAACTCTGTTCAGCTGAGATAATCAATTGCTCCGTTTCTATTTTAGAAAGTCTAGACACCTCTCTTTATTGCACATACAACAGAAGACCGTGTTTCAGTCTCTCTATTCATTTCTCATTTACCTCATTCAACTACCCTCTCTGATGGCTTTCTTTTCATTACATCATGTATTAAACAACATGGTCTTATAAATAAAGCTCATACATTCATGAAAACATACTCCCATTACTTTCTAACCCCTGTTGCAAAACCCATCACTTTTCCAATGGATAAGCCTAGAAATCCTTTCAAAAAATGGAAAGCAGTTGGAACAGATAACATAAAGTTTTTCCTTTGCACATTTGAT